CTGGCACATAAGTCCGTCTCAAAGATTGGACTTGATACGACAATATTTACGCAGATTTATGACTCTGATCTCTGGAGGAGGCTGCTCCGTGTCGGTGAGGCAACATCAGGACCGACTGATGTCGAACACACCAAGCACAGGTTAGACCCTGACAGACCACCTGTCAAACGATGTCAGACAAACATTCTTCGTGACTTTTTTCTGTTTTGTATAAAAAGAATCATTTCACAGCATGCAGATGATCCACTCTTTATTCACTACGTTTCACGTATCTCATTCCACTACTTTTAATACTAGTTCAACGACTCGTCTAAAAAAATATATATATCCAGCTTCTTCAAAACATGCCGGATATGACTTTTGGTATTTCAGCAATTTTTACATTTTGAGATATTTAGCCTTTTCTGCCATTTTTTGTTCTAACTGAAAATGAATTGAGCAGTCTTCATCATCCTTAAATTCTTTCAAAATCGTTAACTCTCTCCTGAATTTTCCACTTTTTGTTCTAATTCTACTATTTTTGTTCTTTGTGCTAATTTTAGCTTCCTTCAGCTTCTTTTTAGTTAATAATTTTAGCTGTTTTTAGCCATCATTCTGCTTATTTCAGCCGTTCTAGTTTATTTTTTGTTTCTATCAGTTATTTCTGTTAATTTAAGCTTTTTATGCTTCTTTTTGCCGTTTTCTGAAATTTAGGCAACGTTTAAGTCATTTTCAGCCAACTTCATCGTTTTGTGATCATTTCAGTTACGTTTTCAGCTGCTTAATTCAGCAGGCATGCCCTTTCTGCTTCTTTCTGATAAATGCAGCCTTTTCAGCTATTTTTAGCTACTTTTCTGTTAATTCCAATTTTTGTGGCTACTCTACAACAAATTGCAAAATGTTTGCACATATTTTTTTCCTGCAAAATTTATTTCATCATTAAGTATTCCCCTAGTTAACCATTTTCTGAAATTTTCACCTTTTGTTCTGATACAAATTTTATCTGTATTCTTCGTGCTAATTTAAGCTTCGTTTTAGCTAATTTTAGCTATCTTTTGGCTACTTTAGTTTACTTATTTGTGCTTGTATCGCTTCTTTCTGCCGATTTAAGCCTTTTCTTCTTCTTCAATCTGTTTTCTGCTATTTAAGCTATACGTTTTAGCTACTTTCAGCTTATTTTAGACTTTTTTCGGCCAAATTCATATTTTGTGACAATTTTAGCTACTTCTTTCAGCTGTTTTCTGCAATTTAAGCTATGTTGTTTGCTAGTTTTTAGCTACTTTTCTG